ACTAAAGTAAAGACTTATTTCTTGTTCTAAAATCACTTAAGTAATAAAAAAATCTTCAGACAATTCAAAAGAGCATAAGCTCTTGGTTTCTCAATACGAGTGAACTTATCAATAAACTAGAATTATGGGAAACGTTTTCTATATCTGTAAGCACAAGAAGCGATTTTCTTTCCAAGAATGAAAGAAATAGAATGCGCTCATCGACTCGCCGCATTTTAGAAAGCAGCAAATCGAAAACACCTCAGCAGATGTTCAAATTGACTGCCATCATCTTGTAATTACAGCAGTTGTGTTGGGCTAACTTTGTTACATGTTAATTTTGTTTGACAAGACAGTGTCAAAAGATTGTAAGCAGAGAAATGGCGAATCGAAGACAACAGTTTCTTCCAGTTGAAATGCGTATGACAGAAAAATATATTGGTTCGTGCCTTCATGAACGTTAAAAGGGGTAGAATTTTTTTTTAAACATTTGCTATGATAGTTTGATAATTCGTTTCATTTATGACGCCTCGTGTCGCAATCTTGTCTGTATCAATCTTATTTTGTGTTCTTTACATTATAAGACAAAAAAAAATCTATTTGTTTAGAAAAATTGGTGTATTATATGGAAGCCTAAATTTAAAGAATTACTCACTAGGAAATGAATCAGTTTCTACACCTAACCAACACATGCATCGTGGTCTCCTTGCGTTGAAGAAAATCTGTTCACCACCTTAACCAACATATTTTGCTCAGTCGAAGTAGGCATACACACGAACGTAAACAGGAAAAATGCGTGTCACAAATTATAAATTATAAGGCATCGTCATACATATAGATTTAACTCAAGCTTCACTGAGGCTATAGTAACCTTCACAGGTGCATTTCTCTTAGGGGTATTAAAAAACCTTTACCTTGATTTTGATCAGTCAGTTTGTACGGCAGCTATATTATATGTTATAGTTATCCGATATAAACAATTTAGTCTGAAATTACACCATTGCCTTGGGCCAAATTACTCCATGCCAAATTTTGTGAAGATATCTTGTCTAATAAAACAGTTTCCATACAAGAACATGATTTTGATCGATCAATTTGTAAAGCAGCCATATCAATAGTGGCCCGTTATCGGCGGTTCGGACAAATGAACAGCTCCTTGGGGGAAAAACAGCGTGTGCAAAATTTCAGATCGATAGCTTAGAAACTGAGGAACTAGTTCGTGTATATACAGACAGACGGACATGTCTAAATTGACAGCTCGTCACTCTGATCATTCATATACATACGTATATACATTATACCCAATTTAGGTTATAGTTTGAAAAGTAAATAGACGTTTTGTTTAGTAAAAATTATATAAAAGCAATCCACTCGTCAGTCAGTTTTTGAATAGACTGAGTCCATAAAAATATAGCCCTTAAAAGTATAGCGTTGAAGATACTTGTACTTCTAAATATTTTGCTGAAATGGATTACCTTAGTATATCCATCATCTTATAAATGTTTCCAAGTTGGGCAGTGAGGATATGCCTGCTAACATATGAGTTAAATTAAGTAGAAGGGAAACTACAATGTATTAGCTCCAGGATTTTCATTCGAATATCTGGTCAATTTGTTTTTATGGTAAGTATCAGCAGAAGTTTCAGGTTGCAGTTGTGTCGAAAAAGATTCCAAAGCTCTTTTTGGGCATATTTGGCAAATAATTAACTTAGTATGGAATTTTACACTCTAGTATATTCGTCATTAAGACTCAATACTGGTAGTGGATTATTAAAACATGACAATGCATTCTCTCCCAGAGTCTGATCTTTTTGATCAAAATCCATTTGTTGCAACATGAACTATATTAACTGAAATAAGTTCGCTTGTTCATGAAATAATTAATATACTTACGAGTATGCTGTAGGAGTTTTTGAAATGCAAGGCATCCATAACCTTAATTCCTCCCTTAACTAAGATCCTCGGTTAATTTTCACATCTACAGTTAGAACAAAATGATCTTGAGAAAATGAAATTCAACCTTTGATCGAACTTGACAAATAAGTTGTTTATTTCGAAGTCATTCAGAAGCAAATAATATCTAGAATAATTATTTTAAATTTTATAAACACTCTTTTTACCAAACAAAACACTGTGCTTCGCAACTACAGTTTGAAGACATACCACTCATGATGAAGTTGAGCGAAACTCTCCACTACAGCAAGAGAACCGTGCGACTTCTAAAACTGAAGCAAACATCATACTCTACATTGATTGAGAGTCATCGAGTATATACACTGCTCATGTTGCGTTGCAAATTGATATTCGGTGAATGGTAAATATTTGTTTTGATGCTGATAAACTGGTCTGTCGCGCCGCGTCGTTCCAATTAATTAGCAATTTGTCAAGCGTATAAAAACTGTATTAAGACTTTCAAACATCTTCGGATCGCTCCAACCGCCTCATACCGATTAATCCCGCATTCACAGTGGCTCCAGTCAGACGCGTCGACCTGTTTCCCTCGTTGAGACCGCACTGCCCTAATTTATGGTGTTGGTGTTTTTCCAAATTTATAGCCGAGAAAATTCAAAGTAGCCACCGGAATTTTTTTATGCACTGCGTTGGATCTCTGATAAGCCCTCCCCACCCTACCGTTCTGTTCATTGACGTCAACATATTTGTTGTTTCTTGTTGTTGCCATATTGTATTAAACAAATGCGAAATTCCTTGTGTCGCCAGTCTCAGGTTTTATTTTGTTTTATTCGTACACAGTGTGGTTGTTGTGATATTTATTTAGTTCCTTGGTTTTGCGGATGCTGCTTTGTGTTTTTGTTGTGTTGTATTTGTTTATATTTTGCTGTTTTTGCGGTGTTGATAAGTTCGTATATTTTCCATTGGTACCGGGCTTTAGGCTATGAATAATTTTGACTTTCTAGGAAAAATGTAAATACTTCGGCGCCAAATAAATCGTAATATTTAATTGGTTTGTTTACCGGTGTGATCAGGAGCACAAATAAGGTATTAATACTAGGGCGGTAATTTTTTGTATGTAATTAAAAAGGCGATTAGATATGTGTAACGTATATACATACATACACATATGATATCTTAAAAAAATCTTTAAAAAACTTCCCAATCTAAAATCGGGGTTTTTGGTAAATATAGTAACAAGACAACATATATATATTAACATAAGTACCATCAGAAACATTTTTTATACGTGCAACCATTTAAAAAACTCGCGCATCTTCTGGTTGTCCTTCAAAACCGGCCAAGCGTCAGAAAGCATTATAACATACAACCGTTGCGTTCTCAAAAACTCCTAGATAAACTTGGTATAATTCTATACGAGTGTACTGCAGATACGGTGAAAAGGGCTTGACATAATAAATGGCAGGGTAAATGTAGTAAATTTTTATATATATATGTATCGATCCGAGACAGCGATCGCTCAGAACTCTCCTTCTCTCTTTCTCTCTCTTTCTCTCTCTCTGTTGCTTTTCCAGCATATAAAACTCAGAACTAGAGATCCTTGAATTGAGAAATCTCTTCGGATATTGTAAAGACGAATCAATATGAATACTGCTTAGTAATAGTTGGAGGTCATAATAGCTGCCTTCGATCGCCTCATTTAGGAGGGTTACAAATCCAACGATCAACTTATATAAATAAATGGGAATAGCAAGCGATTCTGCCACTCTATAGACGATTTCGACACATTAATTATGATTTCTTAGTCCTGATCTCATCAACCAATCTACTATATTATTTTCGAATATAACCGAAAATATACATAGGTAATTTAAGGTCATAATTTCATATTCGGTTGTCATTTCTCTAGAATAGGTACTTGATTTCAGCAGATTATCCTTAATTAAAGGTACTCTGAAATATTTTTTCCGCGTTCCGATAATTAAATAATAATGTAGATCTAGCCACATATGAGAAAACGCTTAAACTACCAACATTTAATGAAGTGTGATTTAAGGGTATTCCCTAGGTTACCCTGGTTGATGTTTTCTGAAGCAAGATACATATGCGAAAAGTCACTCTTGGCAATAATATTAAACCAGAGCAAGGAATTATGAAGGAACTTAGCCCTTTATAATATGTGGTTTCGAAGTATGGAAGACACCAATATCTAATAACCAACCTTTGGCTGTTCGAAAGAAAGATTCCGCTAAAGATAAAAGCACTAATTTGGGACTATGAACTGTGCGAACTTTATGTACGCTGACTGAAATGACATTATAATGGATGTTGGAATGTTGTGTCAACTGCTAGTGGGAGTAAAAGGACTCCAATACGCTGAAAAGATTATGAAAATAAATACTACAATAATGTGTACTTTGGGTTCCAAATTGACTAGCGATCTGTAGTGGGCTTGGCAAAACTTCCTTAAATTATTATAGTGACATTCAAAAAATAAAATGCAAAAGCTTATGAGTCGCATTAATGTAACTTTATTTTGTACATTTTGAAGTTTAAAATGCTTATGACTTATATTGCTATACAAGCATGACTAAATTATTTTTTGTATGAATTAGAATTAGTCAGGCATTCACTTTTGATTCCACTTAATTTATAATAATTCGAGGAATGTTTCAAATAAATATTTTAATTCAATTATATTTATATAAGTGCTTATAAGACTCGTATTGGAGCCAGCGCAGTGCTTCAAACGATATTGCCGAAAAAACTCTGATGAAATAATAAAAAAATGGGAAAATACCGCAGAGAAGTGAGACAAAAAAAAAACACGATACGATCGTCACAACAACGTTGCCGTCGAACTTGTTCGCTATCTGCGGCGTAACAACTCGTTGTATGTTAAGGCTCGCGCTGAGTTTGGGGATATGTCTGGCTGACGCCGAGTTGTGAACGCTGTGAGCACCAATACTTCGGACGAGTTTGTATCTCAGAAGATAATTCGCAAAAGCGAAAATAACAAAGTCAAAAACAAAAGCAAAAACACAAACAATAATAATACAAAAAAGGTGGGCAAACGAAAAATGGCGCAACAAAAAACGACCGGCAAATTTAGCAGATCTCAGTGAGTTTCGAAATAAAATTTCACGTCTCAGTTAGAATGAGCTTAGATTTAAGTGAGAGTTTGAGGCGAGAAGACCTTGCAAAATATTCACAAAAATTGGACAATCATTAACAACAACAACACAAGTGAAAGCCGAAGACGAAAATTTCAAAACTTTTTTTAAAATAAAATAATAATTAATCGAAAAGTTTTTGTTCAAAAAAAGGAAGAAAGCAAGTGCTGAATAAGTTAGTACGCATTTGTGCAAAAAGACTTATTGCAAAAATTGCAAAAGTGGAAATAAATTAAAAAAGTAAAAAAATGGGTTTGCAGAGAATATTATTGGCATTGCTGCTTAGCTGTGCCGCAATGGACATATTTATTTGTCCACAACCTGTGCAGGGCTTTGCCATCGGTCAATCGAAATACGGACGCATTGAGAAGTTTCCTTATCAAGTGATGTTGATCGGCAAACAGTTGTGGCGCAAACGCATACTTTGCGGTGGCACGCTGCTCGATCAACGCTGGATACTCACCGCTGGACACTGCACCATGGGCGTCACACATTTTGACATCTACCTAGGCGCGCTCACCATCGAGGATGGCGCTGAAACGGGACGCCTAGTGTTGCGCTCGAACAAATTCATCGTGCACGAAGGCTTCGATCCCGATACGGCGGCCAATGATATTGCGCTCGTCAAGCTACCCATAGATGTGACCTACACAACGCGTATACAACCCGCTATGCTGCCTTACCTCAGGCGTAACGATGCGCTGACCGGCGCCAAAGTTGTCGCCACCGGCTGGGGTGCCAACAACGAGATGTCCAACTATAACCCCATGCAATACACCGAACTGCGTGTGATCTCTAATCAGGAGTGCGCCAATGAATTCGATGTGGTGACAAACGGTGTGCTCTGTGCGAAAGGCCTGCGCGACGAAACAGTCTGCTCCGGCGATTCTGGCGGCCCGCTAGTACTGAAGAATACACAAATTGTAATCGGTATTACGAGCTTCGGACCCGCCGATGGCTGTGAAACAAATATACCTGGTGGCTTTACGCGTGTCACTTACTATTTGGATTGGATCGAAGCGAAAACGGGTCGACTGGGACAAAACTTGCCACTTGTTGCACAACAACAGGTGTCACAGCGCGCGCAAACGCTCATGCGCAATGTTGTGCGACTCAACGATAATGTGGTGTAACTTAGGGCGCCAGTAGGCGTGTGAGTGAGGAAGTGCAAAATTTTAAGGAGAATTTGTGAAAATTTGTGTCTTTTGACTGACTGAAAACAAAGCTTTAACTAGTGATTTTTAACTAGTATTTATTATTAACTATAAAGAAGTGTGTAAATACTCATGTTAGAAAGGTAGACATTTTTTTAGTAGCGCGCTTGGCATGAGCTGTATTGCGCTCGAGCGTCCGCATGTGATTTATTCGTGAAAGCGCTGTGACGCAAAGCGCATACAGGTGCAGTGCCGTTAGCAGCGCGCAAAGTCGACATAAGCGCACGTGTGTGTGTGTGTAGCTAACGGGACTCGTTCGACGCGTTCTTTCAAGTGTCCAGTTGCTGGCGCGCGTCATTAAAAATGCACGTGATTAAACGATTTTAAGTGAAATGTTTTATGAACTAAAACCAACATACATACATATTTATATTTAAGTAATATTGTATTACGAATTGGAAGATTGTGATATTTGTGACTAGTGGTCAATAGCAAAAATTTTGGGCAGGTGTGCATGTGTGTGTGTGTGTGTATGGGACTTGTTTTCAGCTTTATTAAATTTAGTGAATGCAACGCTTAACTTAAAATCAAAATTATTATAAATACACACACACACACACATACACATATAGACTTATATAGTATTAAGCATGATATTTAATGTATTATTTATTTTAATTAATTGCACGAAAGGAATTACGTGTTTGCGCGTAATGTTATATCTTGGTTTTTTGCTTTTATATAAACTCACACACACGTACAAACATATCTGCCGTTTTGTATTTTTTTATCAACGCAAACTAAATTAAATTTTATGAGTTAAAAGGCAAAAACAAGTTATATGGTTATCAGCAAACAATTAATATTCATTTTTACATATTTTAACGTATATAATATATAAGTATGTATAAGAACAAAACCACAAAAACAAAATCAAAACAAATTAAAAAAAAAACAATGAAAATAAATAATTCAAACAATATTTAAAACAAAATTATTTCGGGTTTTTCTATCCGCATCTAGTTACACGTGCAATTGGAAATTTATTGGGCAGTTCTACTGGGTATTTTACATACAGCACATGCATACATACATACATACATTTACATACATATATACAATGTCGCAGTTCTGGTTTCAGGTGATAACTGATTGCTGCGTAAGTGGTTGCTTTCAACGATTTAGAGACGAACTTTAAGGTCAAATGAACACTGAGTGAGCAGAGGTAACGGAAGAAATAGTGCGATCAGTGATATTTGGATACATTTTCGGAGAAAAAAAATAAAATTGAGATAAATAAAAATCAAGTGTGTGTTACTTGAGAGGTTGTTGAACGGAATTTTAAATATTTTTTGTGTTTTATATACTTACTTAAAACTGCAATTTAATAAACAGAAAACGAAGACTGTACGAAAAATATTTGTTTAAAAAAAATTTATAAATTAAATTAAAATACATAAAGTTTAATTAAACATATATATACTTTTAATGGTAATAACAAAAAAATACGAAGGAAAAAATAAAACATTATTTTTCAAATAATTTTATTAACTAAAGAAATAGACAGTATAAAAAAATAACATAACAATAACATAAATTTGAAAAACAAATAACGTGAAATTTGTAGTCGAAATAAAAATTCATAAAAAAAATTAATAATATATAGAGAAAAATATTAATATATGCATTTAACAAAAATTTTGTTATACATTTTTATTAATAAAGCTTTTACGACGAATTAATATTAATTATACTTCAATAATAAACTTTCCATTGTTTTTGGTATCATTTAATTCATAAAAATATAATTTTCTGAAAATATGAAAAAAAATTGATCAACAAAACTAGTAATTTTGAAACTTTATCAACAAATTTAAAACACGTAAAAACTAAAAAAATTATATTGTATTTTAATATTATAAAAAAAACCGAAAACATTCCTGAGAAGCCCAAATAAACTAAAACTCACGAAACAATTTAAAAGTTTTCGCCAATTAAATAAAATCACACAAAATTTATGCTCATAAATCGTGCAACACCCTAAAATTAGGTCAAGGTCATTGCTCAGTCATAGGGGTATCGGAATTTCAAGTTCCCAATCTCTGCATAAATCAGGCAAGGTCGTTTGACAATTTGCAAGATAACAATAAGAATTTTACTCAAGCTTTATGAGTGTGAGAGAGCCAAAATTGAGCTTTTGAGTACATATCTAAAATTGGTAACGCGTTTGTAGGTCAGGGTTTTCACGGATTATTTGGATATTTAATTGATAACGATTACTGAGAGTACAGAGTGTTTCAAAAGATATATTTTTTATTGAGACTAATAACCGCTACATTTAAAGAATATCAATTGAAAATTAAATTCCACAAAGTTGAAATGAGCTTTTACGATGTTTGTCTTTAGAAGAAGTACAATACTAATGCTATAAAGTGCATTAAAAATTGAAATTTTTCTTGTAAAAACATTTTTTAGTAAGCTAGCCACCTTTGTCGTTTAAATAGGATTGCCCGTTGGAGCTTGAAACACATTTTTTCCATCAATACACTCCTTTTTAAGTTTTCTAAAAAATAATCATTTGAATCACCCTATTTAGGAAATATACAACGTAACTTTATTGAATAAATATATAAATTATAATTTATATAAATTTATAATTAATAATAAATTACTAAAACTCATAAATAACAACAAATTACAAACAGAAGGTTTTAATTAAATTTCTCATCCCATAGATTATAATTTTTACCACATACTCATCTACGCTCACGCAATGTAATCCTTCTTGTCTCCAACTTGCCAAAATAACTTCGTTTACGCAATTCAATGTTATTACGTTATTTATTCAAATTCAATCAAATTTATGATTGGCGTAATACAAAAACACGGTTGGCGCTTTAGAAAATGTATTTAAATTTTTTTGTTTTGGAATGTTGTTCCGTGAGTGTGTCCACATTACATATTTACGCAGGTATGATAAGTAAATGATGACGAGACTTGATGACTTGCCGCTTTTCCCGAGATTTGAAGAATCAAAGCTAAATAAAATAGTTATTTAATTAGTTAAATTAAATGCCGTCAGTTGAAAACTGAATTCAACCCAATTGAGAACTCTCTTCATTGAAATCAGTTTAAAAACAAGAAAAAGTGTTAACTTCGGTTACACCGAAGCTATAATTCCCTTCACAAATACAAAGGTTTCTTACAAGAACTTGATTCCGATCGGTCAGTTTGTATGGAAGCTATATGATATACTCATCCGATTTATACAATTTCTTCGAAGATTGGATTATTGCTTTAAATAAGAATCCATGCCAAACTTCATGAAGATACCTCGTCAAATGAAAGAGTTTTCCATGCAAGCACCTTATTCCGATCGTTCAGTTAATATGGCAGATGTATGCAATAGTCATCCGATCTATACGATTTCTTCGGAGATTGCATTATTGCCTTGATTAATAATCCATGCCTAATTTCTTGAAGATATCTCATCAAATGACAGATTTTTCGATACCAGAACTTGATTTTGATCGGCCAGTTTGTATGGCAGCTATATGCAGCTCTTCATTATTTCAACATTCAATTGCATTTTAGATAATATGTACATAAGATAAATCTGCCTTAAATGTGCGATTTTAATCTCTATTTAACCTGTAATTTAGCCTTAAACTAAGAGCGATGACAGTTCGCAAACCGATCACGTCTGTTGGTACGTATCGTTGTTAACTTACTAGAGTATAAGAAGAAAAAATGGTGATATAGCAAGTAGAACGACAATGGTAAATACCTTAAGATAGGTGATAAGTTAGGGAGTTGGCACTGTAACTTAGTTACAACAATTAGTGGTTGAATCAAAATTTTCAGTACTGAGCTGTTTGACAATTGAACCGTCGCATTATAACACGACGCATATTTAGTCCTCAAATATTTGTATATTACTTAGAGACGGTAGAATTTTAAGAATCTCTATGGTACAATGGTGTTCCAAAAGTTCATAAATATTTTGTACTAACATTCCTTTTAACACTTCAATAGCTTTTTGTCTATTGATTTTATGTATTGATATTTTAAAGAAGAAATATTTTATTTCTCATGAAATCTATATTGCTTGTCTATACTGGAACGTCATTGAGGTGTTGTTATGACGGCCAGCTGTGGCACGAAGGCTAAAGTGCGAGATTTCGTTTTAAAACGTAGATATTTCATTAATGTGACCAATAGATGAATAGTGCACTTTCTGTTTCTTGCTCACGGCACCTACTGCAGGGTGAAATCTCCACGAGCCCTCCAATGTTTGTTCGCTTTAATGTTTTGGGGTTTTAATGTATTTTCAATTAGTTCAGTTAATAATGTGTTGATATCTTTAACCGATTTTATTTTAATTTTCTTTATGTTGAGCGCCGATGATGCCATCTACGAGTATAAAGAGCTACTCAGCCGTACATATTTTCTAGTTTTATTTGAACTTATGCAAATTGTTGTTTGTTGTGTTTTGATTTCTTGTTCATGTATATGCTGATTTCGTGTTTAATCGCCGGTTTACATTCTAGTTTCAATCGATATGTTGAACCAAATTTTTTTGTTTCTAATTCAGACGAGCGTATTAATCACAAGCCATGTGGAAAATGTTCAATGTGTAGCGAATGATTTAATTTTATAGCGTACGCTTTATCCGACTATTTTAGTTCTAATCGGCTTTTGCGCTTTTGGGCAATAGTTTAGGTGTTTAGTGATTTAAAGTAAATCTATATACATACGTACATGTATGTAAATATTTATAAATAATGTTCGTTGCATTGGAAATAAATTTAATTTAAATTATTTTTGAAATTTGAATGTCAAATATAATACAATAATTTCCCTATTTAGATTATATAGATATAGTCAAATATAATACAATAATTTCCCTATTTAGATTATATAGATTTTCGAATGGTTTGTAAGATTTTTTTGAGTGCGTGTTCTCAAACTAGACTAACTATAAGCCAAACTATTGCTATTTTAGAAACAGTTATATAAGAATATAAAAATTTGTGCGTCAAATTTGCCGCGTGTTCTGTGGTGAAGTGGTACAACAGGAAAACTTGCGTTATTTATGAGCCTTAATAGTTTCTCCAAAGCACTATTTAATGCTATCATACATTTAACTGACTTATAGCTCATACATAATGACTAACTTTTCTTGTTTTTTTATTGAAGATTTGCGTCGTCACATTTTTAATGATTCACTTTAAATATATGTAGTGAGAGTAGATATTTGATTTTAAACTGGAATCTGTGGATATGTACACAAACAAAATCCATATATTCTGAGTTTATTGTATACATAGAGAATATTGGACTTGGACCTTTATAATGTATTTCTTATACATTATACCTATTTATTTACATATATGAATATCTTTAATTGCTTATAGAAGAAGCGAGCACATCATCATTGTGTTTTTATTTTACTCTGTCTAGATCTCACCTCAAACTATAAAGTTTGGACGTCATAAATGAGGACGTCATGTATTATATATATTGTACCTGACTGATTCTTTAGGCATATGAGTAATTGATACTGAGTTAGTTTCCAAAGTTCGCAAGAGTATTTTAAATAGCTTTTCTTTCAGCATAGTTTTCTCGATACTAACAATTCTGCTCTGGTAGATAAGTTATGATTTGCTGCATGAGCAAAAACGCTTTGGATTAACAATAAAGTAACTTTTTATCGAATGAAAATAAAGCTTCTTCGACGTAATCTCATCTAAGGGAACACGTCTGTTCAAATTTGACCCGGACTGACGAATATATCATCTTAAAAATAGGCTCCTGAGCTAAAAACGCGGATGCATTAATCCAATTTTCTATGCACTTGTTATAAACCTCAGCCTTGAATGCCTTCAGCGAATTATAGCTTCTGTGGGTTCAGCTCATTTTTGAAATGTCATTTTCAAGATTGTTGAACTCATTCGACGTCATATT